GAAACCCCTTTTGTGTTTTCCTCCAGCACTCTTGGGGTTTCATTTCTAGAGCCAGGTTCCCGGTCTAGGAGGCCCAGGTGTGAGCGCCCACTCTGTCTGCCCAGCCACGTCCCTTAGCCCTCGGCCTCCCACAGAGGCGGCACCTCCCTTAGCTCACCTGCAGCCTGGAGGGTCCTCTGCTGCCAGTCGCTCACCCCGGCCCCTCCCCACCCTGCTTCCTGACGTGGCCACTGCCCCCTCACCCCTGCACTCCTAGCCCTCTAGGCCCACTGGCTGAGGCAGGAGACCCACCTGTCTGGGTAGGGGAGAGGTATAGAGGGGTTCCTCAGGAGTGAGGAGGGGGGTGAAAGAGGGCTCTGCGTAGCATCAGAACTCAGAGGACCTGTGTGCGTGGAAGGCCTGGCCCTGCTGGGTGGCTGGCCCCTGTCCCTTCCAGGCCCCTAGCAGACTAGTGAGCCTACTTGGCTGCAGGGCAGCAGGCAGGCTGGTCTGCAGCTGTGTTGGTCCCAGGGCACAGGAGGCAGACACAGATTGGCATCTGAGGTCAGAAGAGGAAGTGGCCCCCTGGCCATGCCTCTCTGGGATGCGGCCACAGCCAGTCTGTAGACTTAACTTTCTCCACCAGCCCAGGAGATTCAAACATCCCGCGTGGCTGTTGGGAGCATTCGGTGAGAACTTTGCAGTAAGCATCTAGGAAGTGTTGGCTCACTGTCTTTCAACTTGCTCTTTCGTTGCTCAGGCTCCTGGCCCTGGTGCGGTGGTGCGGTGGTGCGGACCCTAGGCCTCCTTGGGGAGTGGGTGGTGGTGGGCCGGTGGCAGACACCGCTGGCTTCTGGGGTCAGAGGTGTGAGGGCCCAGCAGCAGCATGGCTGGCCTCGTGCCCCAATCTGTCCATAGTCACAGCTGCACTTCCAGGCTTCCAGCCCCCCGTCCCACCACAGTGGCCCCCGCTCTTAGGAGCTCTCTTGTGGGACGCCGGAATGTTTTGGCATTGGCTTTGGAGCTCAGTTAATCTTGAAGAATCCAGGCTGGGGGCATGTGCTGGTTTGTGACGGGAGCGTTTCCTGGTGGCACGCTGTCCTCAGCACAGCTGTTAGAATTCCTGTCTGGGGGGGATGAAGGTCTCCTGCCTGTAAGCTGGCTTTTGTTTGGGGGAGGGTGGCACTTTCTGCTTCCAGCGTGGGGTGTGCGTCCTATTGTCCTTAGCTGAGTAGTCTGTTTGAGGTGGGGCTCCCACCTGGCAGGACCAGCTTTCTCTCCCTCGGCAGGTGGTGGGACCCCTTCCTGTGAGCAGACAATGCAGCTCTGAGCCCCTTCTTGCTCTGTGGGCATTCCAGTGGGGCTCTGGGCAGTGCATGACCCATCCCTGACCCCCACCCCAGATGTGGTGCATGGGGCCTGCCTTTGTGAGCTGACACACAGGAGCCTGAGATGTCCACACAGCCTCCTGCCTCAGTGCCCCCCACCCAGTTCCTGAGGTTCTGGGAGAGTTTGTGGTAGGGCTCTGCGCCCCACATGATGGGACTCTGGACCGGCTGCCCCTTAGCTTCTCTTCTTAGCTGGGGCTGCTGCCGCAGGCCTCTGTGTGCACGACTGTTTCTTCCCTCCTCGTCTTCCACTACCTGTGAACCTGGTAGCTTCTCCCCATTGTTTGCTTTCAAGGGTCTGGTGTGGGAAGCCTGTGGACATAGACCTGCTGGAAGGGTCTTGCGTCTCCCCCAGTCTCTTAGATATGGTTCCCCTGACTAGCTGCTTGGGGACCGTGCCATCTCCTGAGGCAGCCAGCCGTAGATGTCTCCCCGTTTGCATGTCTGAAGCTTCAGGCTTGTCTCTGTCCAGTGAGGGGCCTTGGTGAGGGGCAGGGACTACGTCTATGCAGAGGCCTGGGGGAAGCCTGCACAGTGCTGGGGGAGCAGGCTGAGAGCTGGGGAGAAGAGGGGTGGACACTCTTGCATGGGGTCTGGATGTGCCACATGGCCTGAGTTCAGAGCTAGAGGATGGTGGTCAGGTCAGTCCCTGGTGGGGAGCAGGTTGCATGCCTGCAGCCAGGATGTGGTGTTCTGGGCAGTTGGGGATGGCATGGGAGCCAGCGCTGCCATCAGCCAGGCACCCTGGCAGGTGGACTGGGCCAGGCAGGATAGTCAGGAAGGGAACGCTTCAACATGTCCTGGGCCCTGCTTGGTACGGGGTCCCGAGGGCTCTGTCCCAGGCAAGGAGAAACCTTCTGGGAAAGCACACTTCTCAGTCCTGGGATCATAGCAGGGCCCAGGCCTGAGCCAGAGGCCTGGGAAAGCTAGGGCGGGCCGTGCTGCTGGAGTGGGATCGGTCCACACCTGGGAGGTGGACGATAGGCAGGGCAGGCCCGGAACGGGTGTGGCTGGAAGGAGCTGGTGTTTGTGCCGTCTGGGCTTGATGGAGGCGGAGGCATCGGGAGATGACTCAGCAGCCCTTAGTGGGTGGCCGGAGGGCTCAGCCAGGGGAGGGGCTCCCACAGCAGCATGTTCTGCACTTGTTCCCTAGCAGACAGCAGCCCGAGCCCCTTCTTGCAGAGATGGAGGCACAGCCTGACCAGACCCTGGCCCCGAGGTCCTGGCCCGCATGGCCACTGTCGAGGGGCCTGAGGTGGAGGGTGCTGTTGGGACACAGTGCCCAGGAGGCCTGGCAGGAGCCAGCCGGGTGACAGTTCTGTGGAGTGGAGTCCTGCTAAGGGTGCTGGAAAGATGGGTACCTCCTCAGGGTGGACTCAGGAACTGGGGGCATACCGCCCACCACTGGACTGTGGGGAATGTCGAGGGGCCTGCAAAGATGGGGAGGGTGTGCCTGGCTGGGTCTCTGGGAAGCGGGGCTAGAGAGGAAGAGTAGTGGGAGAGTGGGGTGGGCATGGGCGCTCTGGCCAGTGCTGCAGTGGGGTAGGATCGGGTGAGAGCCCATGTCCCCTCTGCCCTCTGCCTGGGCCTGCCCTGCCCCGGGGTTTGAGGGCATGATGTGGGAAGTCTGTACTGTAGAACTGGGTGGGACTACTCAGGGGGTTCACCAGGGGTGGTTGGCCATTGTGGGGCAAGTGCCTCAGGCCGTGCTCAGGCAGTTAGGTGTGGGGATGGCCTGGTCCCCAGGGGAGGCCCTGTCATGCCCTGCTGGCCTCCTTCCCACTGCCCTGCCCTGGTTCTCCCTGGGGCAGTGCCAGCCTCTTCCCATCCCTGCCATCTCCTGATTGCCTTCTGCTCTCTTGTTGGGAGGCTTCCCGACGCCCACCCTCTCAGAGTGGTGGTAACTCTCTTTTCTGTGTGGCCAGGCTGACGGGCAGCGAGCCCCTGACCATCCTACCTCTGACCCTGGAGTCTGAGGCCGCGGCTGCCAAGGCGCACTACAAGGCTTGCGACCGGCTGAAACTGGAGCGGAAGCAGCGGCGCATGTGCCGCCGGGACCCTGGCGTGGCCGAGACGCTGGTGGAAGCCATCAGTATGAGTGCCCTCGAGTGCCAGTACCAGTTCCGTTTTGAGCGGTGGAACTGCACCCTGGAGGGCCGCTACCGGGCCAGCCTGCTCAAGCGAGGTCAGTGCTGCCCGCAAGGCCATGGCAGAGCCCAGTGTCAAGGCTCCTGCTGGGGTGGGGCCATGTGGCTATGGGGGAGCTTTGTCCAACACACACACACACACACACACACACACACACACACACACACACACACACACACACCTCCCTCAGGCTTTTGTCCAACACACACACACACACACACACACACACACACACACACACACACACACACACACACACACACCACACCCCAGCCCCAGGGGTGATGGCTGAGAAGGAGGTGGAAGGGCTCAGAGCCCCTGCCACAGCCTCTGAGAGGGGCCGTGCAGATTGTGTGGAGACGGGCAGACGTCACAGGGCAGCCCGATGATTCCTTGTGTGGGACTCCGAGAGGTGGTGGGGGTGGGGATGGGGATGAGATCAGCCTCTGGAGCCATCTGTGTCTCTGTCCTGAGGGCAGCAGGGTGACCCAGCTCCCAGGACTGCTCCAGGGGCTGGTAAAGCCTGCAGGAGGCTGAGCCCAGAGCCCGGGTGGAGAGCTCAGCTTGAGGTGGTTGGGGCTGAATGACTCTGGTGCACCTGGGCCGGGTCACAGGTGGACGGACGGGGAAACAAGTCATCTCAGTGCCTGGAGGCCGGGCCCCTCTATTCCCCCACCCCCTTCTTTCCCGCCGGCCCCTCCCACACACTGGTAGAACAGTTGTTGGGGAGACAGAGCCACGTGTGTAGCCCTTGTACAGAGTCTGAGGCTGCCGGAGGCAGCTTCTGATGGCTCCCAACATATGCTGGGTGGCTTAGAGCCCATTGCCTGGGCACGGGCTGGAGCTGCAGCTGGTACCTCCTGGCCTTGGGGCACAAAGCCCGTCCCCTCCTCCCTCCCTGCACATATGGATGCTGCCTGGAGCGCTGGCTCCCATTGGAGTCAAGCACCAAACAGACTTGCTTAAAAAAGTTGCTGAATCGAGGCGGGAGCCAGGGCGGGTTGACTGAAGAGACGTGCCTGTGGACCTCACATAAGGCAGGAAGTGGGATTAGAGACCTCATGGGGTGGGGGGTTCACTGGGCCGGGACTGTGGCCTCCGCTGGGTGCTTGCCCCTCTGCAGACAGGGTACACAGCATGCAGGAAGCACATAGCTCTCAGCAGCCCCCACAGTCAAACACCACTAGGAAGCCCTCCCTCTCTTTCTTCCTCCCATCCCCTGAGGGAGGGGTCGGCATTCTGGAGCCCCCCAAGCCTCCTCTGGGATTTGTGTTCTCAGTGAAGACTATGCCAGGGCCTGGCTGGGAGCCTCTGTCTTAAGAGGGCCTCCCTGAAGACCCTGGCCACCTAACCTGCTGCTGACCTGCGCCTGTCTCCCCAAGGCTTCAAGGAGACAGCCTTCCTGTATGCGATCTCCTCCGCCGGGCTGACCCACGCGCTGGCCAAGGCCTGCAGTGCGGGCCGCATGGAGCGCTGCACGTGCGACGAGGCGCCCGACCTGGAGAACCGCGAGGCCTGGCAGTGGGGCGGCTGCGGGGACAATCTCAAGTACAGCGGCAAGTTCGTCAAGGAGTTCCTGGGCCGCAGGTCTAGCAAGGACCTGCGGGCCCGAGTGGACTTCCACAACAACCTCGTGGGGGTGAAGGCAAGTTGGGACTCTGGGCTCTGGGGCTCCTGGGCTGGCGGCGGGATTGTTGCTGGGCTGGAAGGTGGGGACAGGCTGACTGCAGGTTCCAGGCAGGCACCCCCAGTCCTTGCCCTATGAGACTATGCTTCCCACCATGTAAGCGAGCGCGCGCGCGTGTGTGTGTGTGTGTGTGTGTGTGTGTGTGCAATTTCCATAGGGAGGTAGATATGGACCTTAGAGAGCTTACCCCGAACGACCTTTGCCAAGGCTCTGAGAACATGTCTCTCTCTTGCCCCTCTGCCCCTTAACTTAGAGGGACACCCTGCCTCCCTTCCTGGTCAGCAGCCCTGTGGCTTACTGTTCCCCAGGGACTGGTGAGAGTGGCCAGGCTTGCCTGGGGAGGGTGAGGTCATTAGAGCTGGCTCACGGTGTCTGCCCCTTTCTTGAGAAGTAGGACTCTGAGTCGCTACTTATTAAAAATTCAATTTCCCCCCTTTTGACCAAAGCTCTTGCCCCTCCAGCAGCCTTATTGGGGAGGGGGCTGCTGGGCTAAGCCTTTGCTAAGGGCCAAAGCCAGTGAGGTCCACCTCCAGAAGGGATTAACCCCCTGGCAAGGCCTCTCTTTTCTGCCCGCCTCCTTTCTTTGCACGTCTACTCTTTGTAAGTGATTATTGAAAAGTCAGAATATTAAAAGTGCTCAATTAGTTCCACTGGACCTGGGTAAGCGACATTTTAATTAAATTTGTCCGGGTTTCTCAGCAAAGTGTCATTAAATGTGACTCTTAGGTTGCCCGCCCTCCTGGAGAATTGCTAAATGTCTTAATCCCCCGCAGGCTGGCCTCTCGCTGGGGCTGGTGGAGGGGGGAGTTGGGGCAGGGGTGAGGGCTCAGCAGCCTGGCTCCGGCACCTCCTCACACAGGTCTGGGGGTGGGGGGCAGTGTCTGCAGAGTGCTCAGATGCCAGTGGTCAGGCAGGAGGCATGGGCTCCCCCTTATAGATGGGGGCATAAGTTCTGGGAGAGGAAGGGCCCCCGGGGGGTGTCCATACAGCAGCCAAACTCTAGGCTCTGCTGTGAGTGGGCCCAGGCATGCTGTTTCCCCCTGGAGACTGGGGCAAGTCCGCTTAGGTGCAGGCTATGGTGCCCCCCTTCTGCCCCCACCCAAATGAGACCTGCACACGGCACACCGGCCCCCAGCCCACACTGCAAGGTCCGGGACAGGGGGATGGCAGTGGTGGGGAGACAGTCAGTCTTTGTGAAGAGCAGCCTGGCGCAGTTCTGATGTTGGGAGCCAGGGTGGGATCTTTGATGGGCCGAGACTGGCCTTCTAGGGAGCCTGGGGTCGCCTGCTGTAGTGGGGGGTGGGGGTCCTGTCCTGGGAACTACCTCACTGATCCCTCCCCACCAGGTGATCAAGGCCGGCGTGGAGACCACATGCAAGTGCCACGGTGTCTCGGGCTCCTGCACGGTGCGGACCTGCTGGCGCCAGCTGGCACCCTTCCACGAAGTTGGCAAGCACCTGAAACACAAGTACGAGACGGCACTCAAGGTGGGCAGCACTACCAATGAGGCCACGGGCGAGGCCGGGGATATCTCGCCTCCCCGAAGCCGGGCCCCGGGCGCTGGCGGCAGCGACCCACTGCCTCGCACCCCAGAGCTGGTGCACCTGGACGACTCGCCCAGCTTCTGCCTGGCCGGCCGCTTCTCCCCGGGCACCGCCGGCCGCAAGTGCCATCGCGAGAAGAACTGCGAGAGCATCTGCTGCGGGCGCGGCCACAACACCCAGAGCCGGGCGGTCACGCGGCCGTGCCAGTGCCAGGTGCGCTGGTGCTGCTACGTGGAGTGCAAGCAGTGCACGCAGCGCGAGGAGGTCTACACCTGCAAGGGCTGAGCAGCTGGCCGCCGTCCCCGCTCCAAGCGCCACGAGGATCCCTTTCTCAGCCTCAGCTTTCCCCGTCCTGTGACCCGAGAGAGTTGGGCGGATGTTTCCCAAGCTGCCGCTCTCCCTGATATGCCAATTCCCCAGGCTCCAGAGCCGGTATTCCTGTCCACTGCCGCCTGTCCTCACGCCCCGTTCTGCCCAGGGCCCTCCTCCCACCTTCTTGCTCCCATCCAAGGAGCCAGGGGCCGAGGCGCGCCGTCCTTGGCCTCACCCGGGCCCGGGCCACTGGAGGCTGCCGCTGCGCAGCACTGTTCCGAGCGCGAAACCACTAGAAGAAAAAGCAGCCCGCTTCTGCTTCCGCGCCTTGCGCCAGGGGCCCCGGGGGGCGCGGGACGCAGCTGCTCCTGTGCCCCTTTTCTGACATCGAGCACTTCTCTTTGGAGTGAATATAGTGACTTTTAAATTATTATTATTTAATGAATATAGTAATTATTATTTTTCCCCAGGCCCCTCTCCGAAAGCGCCCCTTCGCCCCCTCCTTACACTCTTCCGCCTTCCCCTCTTTGCCTGACTCTGCTTTGTTGTTGGAAACCACTAAACCAAGAGAGTTTTTTTTTTTTTTAAAGAAATAAAGCAAAGTTGTGTGTGGCCACAGGCCCAGGGTTCTGGAAGCTGGGTCCTCTGCCAGCTGGGCCTGGCGTGCTGTAGCAGACACCAGCATTCTGGGCCGGTCATTGGGATTCAGGGCTGGGAGTGGCAGGAGGTGGCCTGCTTTCCCGCAGGGCAGGCGCAGGCAGAGGCCATTGTACGCAGAAGCCCCAGCTTGGAAGGTGGGGACCCGCAGGGGTAGGGGAGCCACGTGCTAGGGTTCGGCAAATTGAATGCTGGTGCCTTTGCCCACGGTGTTTTCTCTGCAAGGGAGGGAAAGGATGGCTCACACTGACCTGGTTTGGTTTGAGTGTGTGCACGCATGTGTGTGCATATATGTGATGGTGTGCATGCCTGTGTGCACGTGTGCATGCATAGAGGGTGTGCACGTGTGTCTAAGAGTGTAGTACACTCTCACGTGTGCTCATGTGTGCACACACACGCCCACATATGTGATTGCACAGGGGCACGTTTGAATATGCGTGTACTCGCATGTGCACATGCGCACACATGTATGTGAATGTGCATGGGTGAGAGGTCACCGGCCAGCTGCACTGTGGCAGCTGCCTAGGGAGCCCCTCCCTCAGGGCGCTTGACAGCGGCTCTCCTGCCCAAGTCCCAGGCCATCTGCTGCCTACTGAGGGAGGGCCTGGCCCGGAGGGGAGGGAGGCTGGGTTCAGGCTTGTGGCACACACATTGTGCACACGTGTGTGCCGGCTGGGTTTGTATGGAAGCTGAGCTGGTAGGTGTGGTGGATGCAGGAACTACTGAGTGAGCATGCTTCTCTGAGTCCCAGGGTCTCGAGGAAGCCCGGGGTGTCTGTGCTTTTAAAAGAAAACCTATTTATGTTGCTGTGGGTCGCTGTTTTATAGTGTAAATAGTAAAGTCTATTCTCCTGTGGTTCAGAAACCCCCCAGGAAGTAACCTCAAGCCGAAAAGGGGGTGCTGGAGCAGAGGGCCAGCTCTAGAACCTTCAAAAGGGCTGTGGGGGACGGGCAAGGAGCAGCACCACCACCTCGTGCCAACAGGCTGGGTCTGCCCCTCCATCTGCAGCAGACCTGGGGCTGGGGCGCATCCCCCTTGCTGGGGCTTTGTGGTGGAGCTGGCCACTCTCACGACAAGACTGTACCTGATCAGACCCTGTATTGGGTTTGTGGAAAGGTGGCCCATTAGAGGAAGCATTTTTTTTTTAATGAGATACCACATTTAGCTCTATGTCATAAATATTAAGAAAAGTATTTTTTTAAACAAGGCAGACTGAAAACGTTTGCTGGTTTGCTTGTTTATATATAAATATATATTAGAATGTCTTACTAAGCAAAGACACTGCTACCCTGCGGGGGCCTCCTATTTACCACGCTTCTCTTCGGTGTGACAGAGTATTTCTAGAAGTGAAAGCCTTATATGGGGTGGCGTTCACATTCTCGCCTCAGCCTGGCCTCCTACAGCTGGGCCCAGAGTACTTGGCCTTGGGGTTCCACCCCCAACCCCCACCACGGACAGGGGGTCCGCTCACACACAGGGGTCGATCCTGGCTGGGAAAAGAGGGACATATTCACCCGTGAAGAATCCTTGTCTTTATGTTCAGAGTCTTGTGAGAGCCTTTCGATTTTCTCTACCTCATCTGTGTAGCAAGTAGCTGTGTACCTGAGTGACTGTGGAAAACCTATTTAAGTTATTTAACACCTTTGTATAACAAAGCCAGAAACAAAAAATGGAAACAATAAATAAATGTATTTTAAATTATAGCCACTCTCGGCCTGTCTTTGTGGGGCTCCGGAGGAGAAGGCGGCGACGGCGTAGGGGTGGAGAGGATGGTGGAGCCAGGAGCTCCCATCTGGTCCCAGCCTGGCCTGGCGGGACCCTCCTGGCTCTGGGGAGCTTGTGACATTGCCATTCACTTACAGTTCCTGGAAAGTTTGCAATCAAGGTGTCCTTGGGGCCAGGGTCCCTCCTGAATTTCAAGGAGAGGATTGGATTCTACCTTGTGTCTCCCAGCTCTGGGTACCTCCAGGCATTCCTTGGCTTCTGGTCACATCAGGCTTCATCACACGTGCCTGTGTCTCCCTGCATCCAGAACGATCTTCTCTCCTTACCTTAATTACATCCACAAAGACCCTGTTTCCAAACAAGTCACATTCTGAGGCTCCCCTCCTATACTTACTTCCTAGGCCCTGAGAAGAAGGCAGGCCTGATGGGGGTGGGGGTGGGGGTTGCAATTCTCAGACCCTACTGGCTTGGCCAGTGGTGGGAGCAGCAGCCAGCCACCTTAGACTGCGCAGGGTAGGCTACACGCCCCATTTTGGCCTTCAGCTGTGGTGGACAGGACAGCCCCTGTCTTCTTAAACATCCCCCCACCAACTCTTTACCATCGAATCAATTCCAGCTCACTGTGACCCTGCAGGACAGAGTGAAAGCATCCCACACGGTCCCAAGGCTGTCATCTCTATGGAAGCAGACTGCCACGCCTTTTCCCTGTGGAACTCACCAACCTTTGGTTGGCAGCTGAGCATTTAACCGCTGCACCACTAGGGCTCTTTGCCAGCTTAGCTGGAAGAGCAAGGTACTTCTCTTTCCTAGGAAATCCCTGGCAGGTGGGGAGAGCCTCAGGCCACAGCGGTGCAGCTCCCCTTTCACAGGCCTGATATCCTAGGGTACCCACCTCTAGCCCAGCAGCTGCCCTGCCCCTGGCGGGCAGAGGCAGTGAAGTGAATGACAACCCTGGGCTGGCTTGGGAGGGTATGTCTCCACCCTCCCCATTCTCATACCCCATACTCCTGTTTCTGGTGCATGGCGGAGGGTGTGCCCTGTCCAGCCCTTGACTCTCCTGGAAAGCTTGAACCTGCAGCCTGGTCCTAACTTGCTGGGAGTCCCAACGTGGCCCGTAAGCTGCTGCACATTGCATCTAGGGTCCTCCAAGCACCAGGCTCCAGTCTCCTGCTCATGAGGCTCCAGGCCCATGTCATCCACCTCCTCATCGGGCTCCTAAGAGGGCTGTCACATGACAGTGGCCTGCCATGCCCTGTGGGACATATTCCTCCCCACTCCCTCCCCATACCCTTCTCCTGTCCCTGCTCCCTCTGTGACACAACTGTCCCCTGGATTGCCTGGGTTTGCCCACCGTCCTAGATGTGGGCAGATGGGGGATGGGCCATATGCCCGAGGAAGGCGGAATGACCTGCCTGATTCTGCTGCGTACGAGACTCCCTGGACCGTTCAGGGAAGGAGATTTAAGAGGCCAGAGACATGGCCTTTGCTAACAGGGATGAGGCAGTGAGAAACCTTGCCTGCCAGGCCACCAGGCCCTTGGGGCGTCCTGGGGTGAAGAATTCTGTGGCCTGGACTCGGAGCTTGACCAGGACCACATGGATGGCGCTGCCTTGTGGTTTGGGATGCCTGCACAGTCTGGCTTGTTCTCAGATCCAGCGCCTGGGAGGGAGACGATGGGGACAGAAGTGACCTGGGCTTAGCCTGCACGGAGGTAGGAGGGGCCAGGCAGCAAGGCGACTTCAATTAGACCATTCTTTCTGGGGGACAACACCTGAAACTAGCTGCAATCCGGCCCGCTGGGTGTTTTTGCCCCGTTTGTTTTTTTACTTCAAAATGAGAAATGTGCAGTGTGCATAGGAATTTGTTCATAGTTTTTTTAAAACTGTAGTTTGACCCGACAACAGGTCTGAGGGACAGTGAACTGGCCCCCCTGTTTAAAAAATTTGAAGACTCCTGGTATAGACCATCAGGGATGTAGCCCCCCACCCCCCAGGTCTGGGTAGGCCCACTGCATGCCTGGTCACTCTGGTCCTGACACTCAGCAGAGCTGGCTGGAGCACCATCTGAGTGTGTAGCACTCCTGTGTGCGGTGGGTGCTCTGCAGGGCTGACTGGGCCTGTCTTAGCATGCACATGTGCACAGGTCTGTGTGTCCATGTGTCAGTGTGCAAGAAGGGGCCCATGCCTGTGTGCATATCTCTGTGCTGTGTATGTACATGTCCTTTGGCATACCTTTGTGTGTTCACATGCATGTGTGCATGCATCTGGGTATGTGCAAATTGGCGTGTGTTGTGTTTGTGTGCACATAGTGTACGCTAGGCCGAGTTTTCTAGAGAAACAAAACCAACTAACACTGTGTCTGTGTAAGAAAGAACTTTCTAACGAGAAGGAATTTTCTACCAACAAAGCGGCCCAGCCCAGCCCAACTCAAGTCCATGGGTCAGATGGTAGCTGGAGGCCCTCCAGGCTCATACAGCCTGCTGGCTGGTGAAGCAGGAAGCGGGGAACTCACAGGCCGGTGGGGGCAGAGTCACACGGATCCCAGCTTGACGGGAATATGGCAGGGCACCGCAGCTCCAGGGTTGGCAGGCTGCGTGTACCACCATAGCCAGGTGAAGGATCCAAGCAAGCAGGAAAGTAGAGAAGGGCAAGTGA